TACTAAGGTCGACTCTTCAACAACTGAACTGAACCAGACCGAACCGAATCATCAGTGGAACAGGCACGTTAGGAGATGCCAGTTTGCCAACTTTATCCACCATTTAGAAGCAATAAATAGAATGGAAACGATAACAAAGGGGACGGAAATTCAAAGCGCGACAGTTTAACGGCTGAAGCTTGAATGGAATGGATTAATTGCTTAATGTACAAGTACATACCAAAAAGAAAGACGTGAACAAGTAGCATATAGCCTCACATCCAAACCATAAACTTCTCAAGTTTTTTTTCCAATGAACAAAAAGAAGAAAAAATCAGCGTAAAAAACATCATAAAATGATAAGATTTAAAAAAAGATGAAATGGAATGTATTGAATAGGACAAGTAACGTCCACAAATAACATTTTACACCCAGTCGTTCCTAGCTCCAGGTAACGCGCAATGGATATCCAAGATCAGAAAGTTGAAAAGAGAGATATATAGATATATATATCTCTATATATCTCTATATATGAATATATAATAATAAACATGAATGGTAAATAACTCAAGCCAACCAGGACAGATAACTCAAAAGGGCCAATACATTCGTTGGCTCATCAAATATATAAAAAGTTTAATTTGAAGTATATATATTGTTTTCCGAAATCAATTGAGCCGTTATCATCGAGAATATGAAAAGTAGGATTTCGGAGTAAATGGTGGTAAATGGGTACATAAATTTTCGAATTGGAGCAACTTGATTTGGGAGGTATATGACCAGTGTGAGACCTCGAAATAATGCCTTGAATCCGAAAACGACTGAACATGTTCAGGACTATGACATCCATGTATGGTAATTAGTATATCTAAGGTCGCTTGCTCATATTGCTAAATAGCCCATAGCGTCCAAGCGAAATGTTGCCAGGTATCGAATATATCGGCCATAGGGACAAGGTCCCACATCAAAATCTGGCAACGGGCGCGGGGTCTCCTGAATGCTAGCGCATGGAGCCTGCTGTGCGACCCGCAGCCAGGGAGTCGTTCCATGGTATTTTATATGGGTGTAATAGTGGCTACCTCTTTCACTTTATCCGCGGTTGTGGTCCAAAGGTAACTGATGATCCCAACGCCTTTTCAAGCCATGAGGGTCGTACACACTAGCAACACTGCGCTGCCAATCCCGCGCGCTAATCACCGGCTGTATATTACTATAAGCAGACGGAACCATAGGTTGAAGGGCAGGAATCGATGGCATCTTGGCAGTCTGGGAAAATTGAATGTGGTATTGCGCAGGGATGCTTTGGCCATTGTGTGATGGGTTGGTTACCGACGGAGGGGGCGAATTCGCGCTTGAGGCATTGGATCCGCCTCCAGAAAAGGCTAGGTCCCATTGACTATAAAAGTGAAAAGAGGGCGCACGGTTAGTCAAGGCGTCCACTGTTTAATGTGTACATTTCCTTCGCAGTATTCTAGGAAGGTTTATGGAGTTCTTTCCAGGGAACTTACTTGATAATTCGAGTCGGATCCCAGCTGGTATTATCAGCCAATGGGATATTAAGAATACTTTGGTTTTGGTCATGGCCATGCATCAACTCTTGTAGTATAGGGTCTGGCTTATCATTAACCTCAGCAGAGATTGGGGGAGTGAGTGCGTGGGTTCCATATGTGAGTTGATTCTGTTCTGGGCAACTTGCGGCAAAGGAGGTGGACATGCAGTGGGAGTTCATTGGAGGGCTGGGGTGATGTTGGTCTGACGGGCTACCATAGGGAAAACTGCGCTTGAGCTCAAATGGCTTGTTAATATCCGCTGAAAAAGCCAATCGAAGTTGGTTGATTGACTCCTGTAAATCAGGCACAGGCCACGCAGCTGCACATTGTTCAAGAAGGCGCATGTGGCGGGTAAAATATATCCTCGCATCAGAGTTAAGCTCGGGGTCAGGGGAGGTGATCGCAATCTGTCAATTACAATGTTAGGAAACAATTAATGCGGAGTTCAAGACAATTGCTTTTACTCACGAGATGCAACATCGTGCAGGTCAAAATGCCATACACGGTAAAACTGATGCCACGTTGCATGTAAAACAAGCCGTTTAAACCAAAAGACCGTACAATCGCTTCCTGTAGTCGACACAGTTTTTTTGCTGAGTTATAACAGAGAACCATATGAGTTCTCCATTTCCCACCAGCCGCAAAAGATTTCGAAGCAAGAAGTTGAGGGCGATGTAAGATTATGATGGAAAGGTGAAAATGGGAATGCATATTACCCACAAGATGAGACGGCAGCCATGGTGGTGACCCATCTTGTGGATATGTGACCTGCAAGTCAGCCGGAAGGCTGGCGAGCCAGTCGGGAATTAGGGTGTTGTTTTCTATAAATCGGGGATTGGCACCCCAGTCTGGTTGTTTCTTGAGCTTATGATATGAATCTGTGATTAGACGAATGCTACGCACATTGCGTATAAAATAAGCAAATAATCGAGACCTTTCGATCTCAAACGCATCCAAATTGGGAATATCCAATGTAGTTGAGTATTCAACCGTATCTGGATCAACTCCAAAATCCGAGCGCCCTAGAATGAAATTAGAATTTCATCATTGAATGTAAAGTATATATAGGATTTTACCTTGAGGACCACCGATCATTGTTTCGACCACCAAAAGGGTTTGCCATACTCTGGTTTGGACGAGGCACTCAACAGTATCAAGACCGCAAGGTAGTCCTTCAGCGTGGTAGCTGTGGTGTTCATGAAGATCAAGATCCTTCGCCATGGATACCATGGTCTTAACCGTCTGCCACGAGCGGTAGAAGTAGCCCTTCTTCGGTGAGCCCTCTCTAGCTTTCAGTAAAAGTAATAAAGCCTGGATTGTACTCAACCGAGGAGCTTCCATAAATGCCGCTTCATGCCCTGTTAAAAGTTAATGGAAAGAGCTAATATATTAATTTTTTATCTGAAAACAAAAAAGAAAGAAAAAAAGAAAAACTCACTATTTCCTAGTGCAAGCCATTGTGCTCCTTGCGCTGGATCATCTGACATCCTTCCAGCACAAGCAAATATGGCTTCTAAAAGAAGGGGCGATATGGATGTTTTATCAGATTGCCATTGCTGATAGAGGTGGCCTCGATGGACAACAGGTACGTAAAAGTGAATATGGGTAAAGTATATATCGAAATATTCCATGGCTTCATCATCCGATGGCATCAATTCAGGTGGAATACGAATAGTTGCACCAGAGGTCGAAATACATGGTGGCAGTTTCGCGTCGCCTTCCTCTGCGGTTGGAACTTCCGGATCCCTTTCGCCCTTTCGCGGCTGCCGGATATAAGCGGCTTTTGAAAAGAAGTGTTAGCCATAATCCGAAGTATAAGAAGTAGAGAGCAACAAAATTTTCGAGGCTGTCCAAAACAAATTTCTTTGTCACATAACTGGGAATGAAGTAAACAGCCCCAAGTACACGGGGCATACCAACGCCACTTTCGTCTATTTTGAGATCTCCAAGTGCATCACTTAGATCTTCTGCATTTGATTGTTCAGATTTCGGATACGATGGAGCGTCAATGGTTGTCAGGAGTGTATTAGGTGGTGAAGCAGTATATAGGTCGGTGTTGTGTTGAAATGTGTCATTATGTTGAAGGGGAAGAAGGTGAGATGGAGCGAGGTGCTGATATAGATCCTGGGGATTCTGCACATGTTCTATATATGAA